GCCAACAATTTTGGCTATCACACAGCTCCCACCACAATACTACTACCTAGTTGTCCAGTCCGAAGTAGACAGAATTGGATTCGAACCGTCAGCCAAATCTTCATAGATAACACTGAAGTCATCATCTATAAGATGCACGCTAATTAGTGATAGCAGAGTGATGAGACCCGACAGCCATATTATAGAGGTAAGTATCCTTAATTAAAAGTAACACTAATTCTATTTTTTTTTTCAAATAATACTGTATACTGCATACTTGTCCGAATTATTAACAAAAAGTGGGAAATTTGAACCTATGACTTACTGGTCGAAAGTCAAGTGTTTAAAAACATTAAATACGATCACAAATCATGACATCTGATTGAAATTAATCGATCATGGTAGTGTCATGTGACTATCGTGTTACGAGTTACTTATTATTTGTTTATTGATTTCAGTACAAAAATTATACACACCAAGAAATGAAGATATAAATGAAGGGTGAGAAATCTATCACTGAAGAAAGGACATTTCACAGAAGATATATATATATATACATAAACTGATGTCAGCTCATGATATCCTCCAGGAAATTAAACAAAAATTCCTACAAAACCAATACTTGAAAATTAATCTGATGCTCACTAGCGACTGACCCTATCCAGGCAGTTAACCTGCAGTTCTAGTGGGAAGCCGTGACCAGTAGGGTACAGCAGATTGAAGATGAGGCAGTAACTCATCGAAGAAGACATTGCGAAGTGGTCGTACTATGTTGTGAATCGGCAGAAGTTAGAATTCAAGGACTACTGAATCGGGTCCCAGTGGCTCAATGGTCTACGAGCTCGCCTTGTAACCAGAAGGTCCTGGGTTTGAACTCCGGTGGGTGCGCACTGATGAAGAGTCCCAAACTAGGCTGAGGAAATAGCTGTCCAGTACTCCCAGGTTTTCCAGTGGTTCTCTAACTGATGTCAGCTCATGACGAAATCCTCCATGCAATCAAACATAAAGAATCAATATATATTTCACCACTTTTCAACAAGAAGTACAACACTTAAATTCTAGTGGACAGTGAAATGAATCGCTCTTTAGCCAATCTTCACTGAAGTGAAATAAGCCTCTCCACTTATAAGATAAAGAGAGTTATTTACTTCGGTTGTTGGTGAGTAGCAGTAGAATCCAGGACGCGGGTTTCCTTCTATTCGGGACTCGTCATCTGGCTGTACCCGGGTGGTGAGAGCTGTCTGCTAGCTAAAATCAGTAGACAGTAATTTACGTCAATGTTTACGTCCCAAATCTTGATCATGAGAAAAAAACCAAGAACAAAGACCAACTCAACAACCAATCACAGCAGACTTAGCGTGGGCGGATCTGATTGGCAGAGATATCAAGAGACTGTTCAACAAACGGCAACAAAGAGATGACAGAGTAACCTTCAGCAAGAAAGCAACCAATCAGAAGAAGGTACCCCTCTGCTAACAATAACGAATAATAGTGTACATAAAAATCTATAAATATCTGTTGATTTTCTCAATAGAGGATCTGTTTCCTGGCCCTTGTCTTCTGTCGTTACACCTGCATTCCTAATGAGTGATGATGTTTCCAATGACACTCGAACCCTGCACCCATCGCTTCAAACGCCAAAGTGTTGTCCACTAAGCCATTTGGACCACGAGAACAACTACTTGCACCATGGGTATCAGTTGTTATTGCTGTTTAAGTTAGTTTGCAATTCCCGTTGACTATTGATTATGTCAGACCGATGTCAGATGGATGCAAATATACAAAAATGATGAGTTACAAATAGGATGAAATGCGTATCCTAGATTCCACTACTGGTCACCATCAACCAAAATAACATCACGTTAATCTTGAGAAATTGCTGAAGCGTCCGTACTGGTGTGACGCGTGATGTAGATTGACAGGAAGCGGCCAGAATTGAAATCAACATTTTCATTCAATAGCTGCAAATGTAGAAGAGTCTATTCTTCAAATCTGGATGTGGATGTGAAATAGGCTCACACTGGACAGCTTGTTTAACCTTGAGCCAGTTGCCAACCAATCAAAACAATTTATCCTCCACTGACTTAGTTGAACTTTAATATGGTTAAGAAGGGTGATTTTATTGCATAACCCCACTAAGTGTAGCGTCGTAGTCCGTTGCTATGGTGATTTAATGACAAGTTATATTTTTTGTATGCTTTTTAAATGAAATTTCCCATTAAAAAAGTTTTTCGTGATGTACATATTATTGGTGGCACCGCATTATATTCTTGAACTGGGTTACATTTACTGCACTGATATTGATATCTACGTAATGTAATGGGTTAAAGGATGCAATAAGTTCAAAAGTTGAACGTATACTTTTGGATTTTCATGGAATCATGCTGGTATATTCTGGGTCTATTTATTGTAACTCTCCAATACTCACAGGATAAAGCAGGTAGCAGCGCCACTTCAAAAAAGCGATATGCCGTATGATAGCCTGCCTCTTCTCCCGTTACACTAAGATCTACAAGACAATAGGGATCAAACATTTCGGTCCGACATAATCAATCACCGGGACATGCAAATTAACTTATGTATGTATAAGGGTAAGGGTGTAACCGATTGAAAAATAATATAACGACAGTCCTGATTGATGTTTCAAGCAAAAATAAAATGACAGGTGAGCTTCAAGTTTCTACTGAATACAAAAATGTCGGAGAAGGAGACATTCGGTAGAAAGGCGTAACATATGAAAGTCGATTTATTTAAAAGATCAAAAGAATAAAATAAATAACTGTTTTCCGAAGAAAAAGAAAAGAGTGTAGGTATAACATTTCATTTTAACGGTATCATGATTAAAAGTGTGGAGAATAACATATAAGTGTTATGACGTATTTTTGAAGTAATCACTTTTGTATGTGAACAAAAACATACTCTGTGTATGTAAAGACGTATAATGGTCTATGCACGATTATATAAAATAGACTGAGGGATCAGCACAAACACAATGTTAGCATTCTAATGCACAGTAGTGAAATCAAAGGTATTGAATGTTTATTGCTCAGTTCTCAATGTCAGAAGAGATGAATCGATAGGAAGCTTTGAACCTAGTTTTCGTGCATTTTGCCATTCCTCAGTAAGATAATATTTATACTCTTCAGACAACATATGCTCCCTGCATGAATAGCAACTATATCAATTGGAGATGGATTCAAAAGCGTTTATTATTTTTCCCTTTCCCAGGACCGAATCCAATCACCCCAAAAGATTACCTTTTCTCCACTTATGCATAGGATAGAAACCTAAATTCTGTGTTCAAAAACGTTTTGTTAAACCCCTTTCTTTACCTAAGTCATAATAATGTTCTCTTATTTTATTTTTATTTTACCACTTGAATTCATTCCACTTCACTTCATCTTCGCTATCTTTACTGTTAATTTTTTAGACGACACCTGACCTACAGCTTTTAATTCTTTATACCGGTTCACTTATTTAATAATCTTTAAAAGTTTCGTAACTCATCCACTTCAACTCTACCGCCATAATACATCATTTTAATTATCTTTATTTTTATTATATGTGCAATAATGACTGAGCAATTTCTAATGCCACTTAATGCCTTTTCCATAATATAAATACGACTGTACAGCTTAAAAATGAAGCCATTGAAAAGAGATATTTCTTCGCTGAACAAAAACCGTGTTTTACCCTATGAATTAATGAATATAATTCGCGATATTCAAGACACGTTTGACTATTTACCTCCATTCCGCTGTAAAACCTAATACTAATTGGCTGTTGTAAAGTCAGAGTCGAATAGACATATTACACATAAAGAATAATACCCTAATATTCTTCATTTTGACGTGTAAATGTCGATTGTTGTCGAGAGTATTACAGAGGAAGACTAAAGATTTACCTAAGAAAACACATGAACAAAATATGATGGAAAAGACACTGTTGGTACACCTAAAACAACCAGAAATTCCCTTCTACTTGTTGACTATATTACCAATATTTTAGGTGAACTGTTCGATTACCAAACAACAAACTTTTATAGACTAATCAGTAAAAAGAAAAAATCAAGAATTCAGAGAATTCACTAAGTCCTTCACTTATTTAGGAAACACGGTTTTAACCACAGGCTAGTGGAACGGATGAAGATGCCAAAGCTAGCCAGTCAGAATCGGAAAGGCGAGATGCGCCTTCATCAACCAGAAACCAGTTTGGAAATCTTCTGCACTGACTCTGCATACGGAACAAGATGGATTCGGATTTTCAACACAATTGTGAAGTCAGTTAGTTCTTCTATACGGGTCAGAAACTTACACTGCGTGTCACGAAAAGGATTTCCAACAGGTTACAGAATTTTACCGACAGCTACCTTCGTTGGCTCCATACTGGAGATCAAATGGCCGGCCAGTCAGAAAGAGTTAGTAACAAGAAACTCTGCAGTGGAACAAACCTACCAAGAGCCGACTGCCCAACAAATATGTAGGATAAAATGGAGATGGACCAGTCGTACATTAAGGAGATCATCGAAAGACATCATGCGCCCGGCCCCTTAATGGGGGATGACATGGAGGAGATCATGCGAGAAGATGAGAGATTATAGGCAATTGTGGGAACAGATGAAGAGGACAGCACCAAATAGAACAAAGTGGAGATATGTTGTTGAAGCCTTGTGTTCCAGTCGGAACCCAAGGGAAAAAGTAGTAATAAAAAAATAAATAAATACCAAATAGACTACAATACAAATTTTTAAGATGAACTGCTAAAGAACAATGTTTTAAACAGCAAGTTTCTTAGTAGAAGTAAACTAAGGGGCTACAACCGACATCAAGAGACTGTGGGGAATAGCCTAGAAATATTTATAGTAGTACGGGAACATTCAAGCATTTCTTTAAAGCCTTTCGCATGTTATCATTCTGCTGATATCCTTCTGCTAATCTTTATAGTCTTATTTACAAAAGCAGGGTAAAAAAGTAAACCATTTAGGCATAAAAAGTTCAAAATAGCTCAACTTGGAATCTTACTTGCTGAACTAGTTGGAACAGGTGACTGACAACTCGAGCTTTCTTTATCTTCAATAGCATCTTTGAGTTGTTTATTTTCTTCTTTCAACTTTTCAATTAATTGAAGTAGTTCTTGAACTTCAGAATGCCATGTCTCTTCAATTTGCTCTAATTCCTTGAAGAAGAAAAAATCCAGTCATAAAATTAGGAATAATAAACATCCCAATGCAGTACATCGAGGAAAACAACAGAAGGGGACAGTTTCTCAAAATCAAATTTGCAATTTTCACAGTTCGAGATGATCATTCCAATATAGTTTCATGTAGAAAACGAGATTATTCAGACTACAGTGTGTATGTGACCTGCTTCACACCATAAACGGTAATCAAGAAACAAAGCGTAAGTGCATAAAAATATATACTACTGAATACTCATTGAGATGAGTAGTTGTATACCGCTCACATCAACCAGTAGAGCTTGTTAGCCAGATCAAACTGTGTAAATTGCAAACTGCGAATTCGACTTGAGATATCACCAGCTTGCCCAAGTAGCTAGCTACAATTCGAGTGGTCTGAACTGATTCGGCTCTTTCAGTTGAGTCGAACTGGATACACTACTTATGACCTCGACCCCAAACGAGCGAAACACCTGTCCGGTGTTTAAATCACTTCGACCTGGTTAGCAAGCACTACTGACTAATATTAGCGGTATACAATCATTCATTTCAATCAATATTCAGCAGCAGTAGTAGTAGTACATAGGAACAATTTCTGATAACCACTGGTCGTCATCGTAATAACGTTTTTTTGATTATAGCTTGATTCCACAGCGTATTTTTGGTACATCTATGGAACTTTCAGCATGTGATATCAGTAGCCCAAATTTTGCAGGCCGACCATTGACATCAGGCGTGCATTGGCAAGGGATCAAACCCCGGACCATTCGCATGGTCGGTGAGAGTCCTAACCACTGTGCTACCGACGCAGGTATTCATATTCATATTCTATGATTATTATGTTGACATCCAGTTCACTGAAAAATTCATGTAATGCCTAACTGTTTACAGTACCATGGTATTAGAACTATGATGCAATGGGGGCGCACTCTGAAAGAGTGCATGTCACTAATAAATATTTTTATATTTCATATAACACAGGGACTTTCAAGGTGAAGCTGAAAGCCTCGAGGATACCTGGGGATAGGCCACAATGCAAGTTCAACACTCACAAACTGAAGGACACAATCACACAGGACATTTTCACTGCAACTGTCAGAGCAAAGCAGGAAACACTACGTGGCACCACTGAGGAATCATCCGTGGAAGACCATTGGAAGTCTCTAAGGTAATTTTCAACGAAACGTGCTCAACGGTTTTAGGAAGAAAGAAGAAACAAGACAAGGAATGGCTCTCAACAGACACTTGGAAACTAATAGAGGAGAGGAGAAAAGTGAAAGAGAAAATGATTCAATGCAAAGATGGACAAGAGAAAGAGACGCTGAACTCAACTTACACAGCACTGGACAAAGAAGTGAAGAAGAGTGCCAGGAAGGACAAAAGACAATTCTACGACAACCTGGCTACTGAAGCTGAGAAGGTAGCAGGCAAAAGGGACCTGAGGACATTATATCAGATAACCAAGTCTCTATCCGGGAAGAGATCAACACAAGTGAAACCTATAAAAGACAGCCAAGGGAACCCAATTACCAAAGAAGAAAGACAGATTAAACAATGGGCGGACCACTTCAAAGGACTCTTGAACCGACCACCACCTACAACCCGTCCAGTAATACCAACAACAGCACGTACACAACTGCAAGTTGACACCAATCCTCCAACGAAAACTGAAGTCATGAATGCAATCAAGCTTCTGAAAGCTGGAAAAGCAGCTGGACCAGATGGAATACCCCCGGAAGCACTGAAAGCGGACCCAGAAACGACGGCAGATATGCTGACTCCATTATTGCAAAAGATCTGGAAAGAGGGAAAGGTGCCTACTGACTGGAGGAAAGGTTACCTGGTGAAACTACCAAAGAAGGGCGACCTGGGACTCTGCAAGAACTGGCGAGGAATCATGCTCCTGTCGACGCCAAGTAAAATCCTGAGTCGCATCATCCTGGAGAGAATCAAGGACGCGCTGGATACAGAACTCCGACCAGAACAAGCTGGATTCAGGAAAGACAAATCATGTTCTGACCAAATTGCAACTCTACGCATTATCATCGAACAAAGCACGGAATGGCAATCAAATCTCTACCTCAACTTCATAGACTTTGAGAAGGCCTTCGACAGCGTTGACCGCGAAGTAATTTGGAAACTACTCGAGTACTACGGCGTACCGCAAATATTCATCAACTTAATTCAACAACTGTACGACAACGGCACATGTCAAGTGATCCACAACGGAAAACTCAGCGAAGCGTTTGGAGTAAACACAGGAGTCAGACAAGGTTGCTTATTATCACCAATGATATTCCTAATTGTGGTGGTGGACTGGATTATGCGTCAGACAGTGAGTGGGAAACGAGAAGACAGGGATATCCTGGACCGACGTGAAGAACCTAGAAGACCTGGATTTTGCGGATGATTTATGTTTGATGTCACACAAAATCGAAGACTTACAAGCGAAAACCGACAAACTGGTCGAAGAAGCAGCAAAGACAGGACTCCAGGTGAACATAGACAAGACGGAGGTTATGAAAATAACCAACCAACAACAGCAGCAACATCCAGTGCCAATCACCATCAACGGGAGGGATTTGAAAGAGGTTACTTCTTTCACTTATCTGGGGAGCATTGTCTCAACCACAGGAGGAACGGACGAGGATGTCAAATCGAGAATCGGGAAGGCGAGAAACACATTCATCAACCTGAAACCAATTTGGAAATCTTCGTCACTCACCATCAACAACAAAATTCGGATTTTCAATACAAACGTCAAGTTAGTCAGTTCTTCTATACGGATCAGAAACTTGGCGGGTCACCAAGAATATTTTCAACAGGTTGCAGACCTTTATCAACACCTGTCTTCGCTCCATACTGAAGATTAGATGGCCAGAAAGAATCACAAACAAGAAGCTATGGGAACAAACGAAACAGGAACCAATCGCCCAACAAATATGCAGGAGGAAGTGGAGATGGATTGGACACTCGCTGAGGAGGCCGTTGAGTGACATCGCGCGTCAAGCCCTCGAGTGGAACCCGAAAGGGAAGCGGCGAGTGGGACGTCCAAGGGTGACATGGAGGAGATCGTGTGAGGAGGAGATGAAACAGTATGGAATAACATGGACGCAAGTGAAAAGAACAGCAGAAGACAGAAGCAAGTGGAGACGTGCAGTTGAAGCCCTATGTTCCACTAGGAACCCAAGGGAACAATAATAATAATAATATATAACACAAATTCACAGCCTGTTTAGTCTTGAAGGTATTGGAACTGTGTACTGCTGAGTATTTTCAAAGTACAAACGATCCCTCAGTAGTTAATGTTCTACAAACTTAAACACTGAAACTGTCAGTATGTTAAAGATTATAATCGAGTTTCACTGGAAAGAGATGCTTCACTTGAAACATCATTATTGTTCGAGAGTATTGTTAACAGCATGCAATAAGTTTCATTGACAGTTTGTTGTTTCATTTCATTGATTGCGTGAGGGGTGAGATACTACCCGGGCGTCCAGACCAAAGTAGGTGGTTGTATTAAGGGACCACCCCCCGGGCCTTTGACTTGGATTCTAATCCTGAAGGCAGCGAAGTAGCGTCAAGAGCTACTTTCCCATGGTTGCCGGTGACCAATACAGGTTCACACGTCATCTGATCCGATTGGATTCTGGAGCCCATGTACCTCATAGTAACTGCCTTTAGTCTAACCGCTATCCAAACAACCTTCCTGATATGGTAGGACCTGCAGGAACATGAGTCCTAACCAATTTAGCTTGCTGGGTCACTGTGGCATTCAAGCCCGACCAGCACGACAAGGTAGCAGTTGTCGGCCGGGAGTTTCACTGGCCAAGTATAAAATATGAAATTGGTAACATAGGTTCCAATAAGTAATAATAACGATGATAATAATAGCAAAAAATAGTACAACCCAGCAGGTCTAACTGATAAAGTGATTGACAAATCGAGAAATAACTTGTTACGAGGTGTATCAGTTCAAGTCTTTACATTTCAAAATAGGAGAAGAAAAGGGAGGGAGCATAAATAGAATGATGCTGCAATGAACAAACATGTGTGTGACGAAGAGAACAATCTAGTGAAGATATTTTGAATCTCTAAGGTGATAAAAAGTGAACGCATTTACGCCGCTCTAGTCAACAACTTTGAGTCCTATCACCAAGGTTCTCCATTTTTCTTTTCATTTTATTTATTTATTTATTACAGAGACTGAAAACAAGAAACCCACACTCCATGAACTGATCTCAACTTTTTTTCAACTTTGATCAAGGTTTACTTTTATACAATTTAATTGTACTGTTAGGCAGCATTGCTATTTCAGTTAGGTGATAATTGGAGATGCACAGCACATGTCACAGTTACTTTATCTGCTAAAGATTCACGATCTTATACGGTGAATACTCTTTTCAATGAATACTCTACGCTCAATTCCAAATTTTCTTACCATGTGATTGCATTAAACATGTGAGGAATGAGTCTAATACACTAGACTTTGAACAACAGATCAATTAGAAAAACGATGCAAAAATTGTATACACTGGCACAATCGTGACTAATCTTCAGTTATTTTGTCAGTGTAAGAGAAAAATCTAATCATTATGGTAGGATTATACATTAGGTCAATTTCTTTTATATAACACAGTAACAAGTAACCTAAAATGATGTTGTGTTCTAAATTCTGAGCTAACAACCAATGACTTCACGGATCAGTATCATCTTTTACTTAATATCCTAAATCCCTACAAAATAACTGTTGAAAATTAGTCTGATTCTCACCAGTGACTGACTACAGGATGAAATCGCCTACAGCTACGGTGAGGAGTCATGACTAGTGAAGTCTACCAGGTTGGTTGTGACGATGAATACTCGCCGATGACATTGGCTGGTAGTCGCGCTAAAATTTTGAACAGACAGAAGTTAGAATTCACGAGTTATTGAATTCCAGCTCATGTGGTTGAATGGTCAACGAGCTTGACCCCGTAACCTGAAGATCCCAATGTCGATACCTGATGAAGTCGTGGGTGCGCACTGATGAAGAGTCTCAGGCTGGGGCGAAACAGCTCCCTCTGGTCTTAAATAGTTCTTTAACTTATATCAATCCATGATAAGACTTGGAACAAATCAAATCCCTACAAATAAACTCTTGAAAAATATGGAGCTTTTGTCAAAAATTCTTTGAATTTTTAACACAAACGACTAGAAAGTTTGCCGTCTAGACGAAAATTAAAACAGTTTTCATAATGTTACTTAAAATTCATCAAAAAATAGGACCAAAATACATAAATAAGTGGATTTAATACGACGAGAATAAGCAAAAAGCAGCCAGATAAGATTGTCTTAAGCGAAAATTAGCTAGTACAACATCTTACAAAACTTAACAGCTCTAAACTTTCGTGAGAATTGAAGTGAAAATAAGTAATGATTACGAATTAAGAACGTATTTCAACAAACTACAAATTTAAAACACGCGACAAATAACACTTATATTCGGATGCAATTCACCAAATTTTATTACGACACAAATACATGTATACTTTAATTAAAGTGTTTATCGATGACCAAGAACAAATCCCACTCAACGGCTGATAATCACATAATTCATCTACTTTTATTTTTACATAAAATAAGTAGTTAATGCCCATTTATGCTAACATGGAAGTTTACTGAAGTAATTGATTCCTAGCGCACAGTTGCAGGAATCAGTCATCTTTAGTAGTTCACAATGCTCAGTTCTCTAATTGATACCCTGGTTTAGGTTTTTTAGCTACTCATTCATTCTGCTCGTCACAACAACCAAACTCGATTACTCAGCATTATTTTTAAGCCATAGTAGAATGCTCGCCAATCATGCATGTTGCCCAGGCTCGATCCCCAGTCGACACTCTCCTTTACCTCGCTAAGCCAGTAACATGACTGGTAAAGAGGATAGATTGGGCATGAGGCTAGCAACCCCATCCCGTAAAAAAAATGAACACCACTGGTACAGAAACCTCAAGTCTCTAGCTTGAAGTTCTATGTTCCACTGGGAACGTGAAGGAATAGAAAAAATTTATTAATCCAAGTGGTTTACTAACAAATGTTATGAAATGATAAAATACACAAACCCACCTTTTTGTGCCTATTTTGATCTTCTTTTCGGTCTAATTTCTCAAGTTCTAAACGATGTACAGCAGTCTGAAGAGTTATTATTTCTCTTCCTTCTGATTCAAATTTTGTAGCAAAGTCTTCCAGTTCTTCGAGAACACTTATCACTTTAGGCATTAAGTTGGACACTGAATAAGGTCCATACTTATCGATGATGGTCTCGAATTCTTTGCCAATTGAAGCAGCTATGTCGTAAACATCGAGAACAGTGATCGACGGTGTTGACGGACGTTCATTCGACACTTCAGGGGGAGGTGGAGGAGAAGGAGCAGCAAGTGCCTTATCTACACCCTCCAGACTGAAGCGGCGAATAAGTCCGGAGGAAGTATCAGGGTGAGACAACAGTTTGAAGGAACTATTTAAAATATCAGAAGAGTTTGAAAATACATAAAAATAATTTCGTGAGATCAATTGATTTTTCGAATTAGTTTTAACAGAGAATCATTACTACATAATTTAACATTTCCAAGTATCAAAATCAAAAGCACTTCGTATATTAGAATTTAGGGAGATAATTAACCCAAGATTTGCTTATAATATATTTATTCGGAACCATGCCTCTAGATCTCCAGCGATAATAGATTACATCAATATGCAGTTTGTTTAAATATATTTAATCGAACGTTGGTGTTTGAGAGGAAATTTTATCTCGAAAAGTCTTGGAGTAAGAAGGGTTAGAAGCCAAACGACCGTATAACCACTGTAGGTAAGGTTTAGAAGTGTCAAAAAGGACAGAACCATGGTCCTACATGATTGGAAATGATTTATTGTTCGTCTACTTACGTCAACAATTTCTATGATTGACTGTTGATATTGCGGTGTAACATACGAACTGTGTCGATTTCACTTTTATCCCAAACACACCGACATTTAACCCCCACATATCACACTATCAATTGGTTTTCTGATGCCCGCATAGTTTTCCTTGTCACACCCTTCTGCTTACTCATTTATTTATTTATTTTTACAGAATCTTTCTTTTACAAAATTCATATTTTCGCCACTAGTTATTTGATTGCTATCTCACTTTCTACCACACCGGGAGACTAACAGAAAAAACGACTAATTCCAATCACAGCAGTACTACAGTTTTAGCACACTATATATATATATATATATATATATATATATATCGGGAGAGATAATTAATAAACTCGTGGAGAAATCTAAAAGCTCACTTCAAATTGAAGTATGCGCTGAAGATGTCACCTAGTAGGGTGATGAAAGTTTCGCAAATTAACTATCCAGCTCAGTGAACACAACCACATCAAAAACACTATATACCACAAATCAAATATAACCAACCTCCCATACAACTATTCAACTCAGGGTCTACCAAAGCTCCAGCAGGCAAGTGACTGAAGGAGCTACGCAGAAACCCGTTAAGCAGCAGAAGCTACTATCTTAATAACAGGAAAGTAGCTTAAAGAAATCAATTCAATCAGTACTATTTCGTAAGAAGGTTATTGGAAATTATATATAAATATTCATAAACACATGTTATCTTCCTATTCTTATTTACAGTTACAATCACCATTCTATCATATTCGTGCAGCGTTCTTAAGACAATTCGAATGATTTAATACTCAACCAGAAAAAATAAGGTCAGGTTGTTTGGTGCCTCTTCAAAAATGCATTCGAATAATTACGTTACTGTATGTTTTCAAAAGGAGAAATAAATGTTACAAATAGACTGTTGTTTGCCATTCCACCACAGTGAGAGATAAAATAGCCATAAATTTGGAGTCCAAAAATTAAACTGAATGTCTGAGCCAATCACAAAGATTATTTATTCGCTAACTGGTTCACCTTAAAAAAAGAGGGATTTTGTTATACTTATCCACACAAATACTACTAGTGGCAAAATCAGAAATATGGTTGGCTAAAGCTTTCCTGAACTAAGCGACTTCGACGCATCGCAAGAAAGAAACATTTCTGTTACAATTTTGGAAGTTTGGTTACTTCTGAACTAACAATTATTATTATTAGCTCATAATTAAGCTAAATACTTTTGCGAATGCATAAATATATATACATATATCGGTAGTGTTATTAGAAGACAAAGTATATCTGAAATATATGGTGTTAACAAATACATTTCGAGTAATCTAATTAGATTGTGTTATTAATTACAATTTTAACATTTCCTATTCACACATAATAGCTTGTCAAGTTAATTTGTGTGTGATGTGATTGTTCGAAATGTACTGCACAAGTATATCACATCCTTTAGATAGACTCAGTCTTCTAATAACACTACTTACACTTATTGCAGGTAGTAAACTAATTATACAATTATAATTGTTTTAAATACTTGTGGGTATATATATATCAAAAGTATATTACACTTAAGAATTTCGAATAAATTGAAGCCTATACAAAGTAAAAAACTAAGCTGTGCAACAGCAATACTGCCATACATTCCACTAGATTAGCTATAATTCTAGTTAATTTCGCATGACTTTTTCATTCACTATAAGCATTCAAGCAACTTTACTGACGATTGGAGGCGAGTTTTTCAACACCATTCAGTTTTAATGAACACACAATGCAACTTGAAACAAAAAATATCTGAATAAGTACCTTATTAGCGAAGATGAACAAAAAGCGTCCCCCAGAAGTAACGACAATACCTAATTACGCGGCTAAAGTTCATGGAACCGTGTTTTAATAGGTAGTGTTTTTTTATCATTTCCAAACAGTAGTTCTTGTTTCTCATACACACTTTCTGGCTCGAAATAAACAGTTTACTTGCTGAAGACAGAGTGTGAAAAAAAATAAACAGGAGTCCTCATTGGAGTTAACCTGAAAGTTAAATCCAAAATACAGTATCACTTTTATTAGCGCTTGTAAACCAATTTGATTTCTTTGTGCTCGCTTCTTGCTTGCGAGGTGAGTGTTCCTGGTTTTCGGTAAACTTCTGAATAGTTCATCCCACCACCCGACTGTCGTAGTTCTGGCTGACTGCAAATGGAGTGGTGTTGGGATTAATTATGTGTAGTTTGTAGTATGTGGCGTGTTAAGATCGTGTTGCTATCGTGAATTGAGTTGATTCTTTCACCCATTAGTCGTGTGATGTCATCGAAAAAAGGATAATAATAGCAGATATAATAAGTGTAGGTTATGTAGACTTGAAAAGCAAAAGAAAACGTAAAGACAAAGAATGAAATTTGAAATACATATGGTACGTACATAGATTTTTATATAATATACATATCAGTAATTATATTAATAGTGTGAGGGACGCAATAGTTGCAGTAGTTAGGGGAGCAAGACAAGTGAAGATGTGAAAAAACAATGAGTTTGGGTGTCTTCCCATTAATAGTGTATAAGATTTTCAGGGGTAGGCTGTTTGGACGCAGTCCTTGTGTCACTTAATGTCTGTTCAGCCTTCGCTTAAAGCTGTCCATGGATGACACAGTGGCTATATCTGCCGGCAGAGAATTCCAGCGCCAGCAAACTCTCAGTGAAAAGAAATGGTAGAGCACCAAAGTCCTCGTCCTCTGGTGAGCTATCCTTCGTGGATTCGCACGAAGAGTCTCATACCTACTCAGTGGCAGAGCACTTCTTTTGGGTGATCCTGGTCATTGGTTTCTTTTAGGCAGTAATCAAGTCCCCACTAAGACGACGGTAACTAAGTGTGAAGATTCTAACTTCTTCAGCCGTTCATTATGTGGTGTGTTTCGGAGACCCATCACTCCTTTTGCCGCCCGTCTTTGGATCCTCCCAAAAAGGTTCGCGTCTCTCCTAAGCAGTAGGAGTGTAATGATATTGTGCATTTCAAGGTGTGGTTTGATATATGTTTTGTACGAACTTAGAAATAGATCAGGAGTGAATGCATCTAACTGTCTAAGTGTGAAGTGTATAACCGCACATCCTCTCACTACATCCCTCGTGTAATTCATTCTTGTATCCATTTTTCCTTTAGAACCAGACCTAAATTGCACTTCAGCGTTTCCCAGGACAATTTTTCGTTGCACAGGGTTTAACTCGCATTCTGCAGCCCAAAGGTGCGTAGTTGCATTGCTCCGCACTTTTCAGGTTGGATGTCATACTGTCGGTCACCACCCAATCTTCGAGAAGCTTTATTTCCACCTGCAGCCTATCTGAGTCTTCTGAACAGTTTACTGCTCTTCAAATATTTACGTTGTCAGTGAAAAGAAAGATTGGGCAGCTTTAATAAAAATCAAAACACCATTAACCCTAAAATGAAACCCAGCAATTCTCCTGATGACTAACTGTGCCAGGATGATCGGACTCGATTGACCTTGGTGCAGGGTTTCCTTTCAGCTAGATAATCCTCCAACCATGACAGAAGCGACCCACCTATATCTCCTTGACTTATTCTGTGTAGGATATCACAGTGAACTCTGTCAAACACCTTCTTAAGTTCTGGGAAAATCACATGAACTGGTACATTCATATCTCAGGATGGTGTCCAGCTGTTTCAAGCTTATAGTAGGTTTGTTACACAGGATATACCTCTCCTGAAACCATGTTGTGCTTCATGGAGTCTATTAGTCCTGTGGCGTCAGTGGCACAGTGGTTAGGACTCCCGCTGACCATCCACATGTTTCGAGGTTCGATCCCCCGCCGACGCACACCTGATATCTGTGGTCGGCCTGTAAAATTTAGGCTACCGATATCAAATGCTGAAAATTTCATACTTGTACCAAAATACGGTGTGAAATCAAGCTATAATAAAATTTAAAAAATAAATAAAATAAAACGTGTTTCCTGATGTGATCGTCAATTAGACATTCCAGTGCTTTTGATACCATTGGGAGTTATGCTACTGATCTATAACTGGCATTTCGCCTGTCTCCACCCTTGAAAATAGGAGGAAGGATCGCTCTTTTCCACTCCCTTGGCAGTTTCCCTGAACTCAATGAGTGTTGGAACAGGCCGCATAATGTCCTACAGACAGCTTCAGTGCACTGTTTCAGAACAGATGGCCGGACGTCGCCACAATCTGGGAACTTTCCAGATGTGAGTCTCCGCAGACTTCCTAGTACCACTGCCGGTTTTATTTGGTGCGTAGCCACTAGGTTTTCCTTCTGTAAAATAGCACTACCACCTTTTTGGCCCATACCAGTATTACTCACATTGCAGTTTAACTGATTGGCAAAGGCTGAACCGAATGTTTCAGCCATTGTCAAACCAGGGAGATATTGGCCGTTTCACCTGCCAAGAAGCATGCCCGCTAGTTGGTAGGTTTTCCTTCTGACGTGAGTGGATACAAGCTTTTGTGATTCTCCAGGAGTCTTTTGGTAAGGTTTCCCTGGAGTGAATTACTTTCCTTCCTGACTCTTGTGTTGCACCGAATCCAGAGTTTCAGGTATGCATCGTGGTCGGTCTGACTACTGGAGATTCATCACGTAAAGCATGCCTTCCAATTTGCCTTAAGAATACGTTGCGTACCTCTCTTCAGACATGAGGATCTCTTCTTTGGCTACGTTGTGACTTGGGTGGACGGTAGCAGAAATTTCTGTGTGAATAATCTCTTTTACCACTTCCCAGTGTTCATGAATGGGTAACTCAGCCCAGTCTACAGGCCATTCTGCATGGAAAAAAATTCAGCGCATTTCAGCATAGTCAGGTTTACTATCGCAAAGACATGCTTGCACGGCCTTCCTCTGTAGGTGCTCACAGGGAACAAGTCATTCGGACGAGATATGTTGGAGGTCATAAAAATGTTCAAGGAAACTATCACTGGGTTCTCAAAGATTTGGAAGGAGACTAGTACATGACGACGAATAACAAACGAATAAGATATCTGAAGAACCAAACAGGAAGTGATAGTGAGTTTCTCAGGTGATCACTTGAACATGACAGGCTGTCTAAATCTCTAAATCTACCGGAGTTTCCATCCATTAAAATGCTTGAACTGTTCCGTATTTCTCGGTTTTAATCGTGTTGTAATTTCAGACGACTACTACATGAAACTGCGCGCTTATTTAATTGACCTCCAACTACCGCGATGCATTTTTTGCGCATAGTATGGGTTACCACGTTCATGCCTACAGAGGCGTCATAAGAGTGTATTTTTGTGAAAATGAAGTATATTTAATTAGTTTTAGGTTTCTATGGTCGGAAAATTGGTATTTTCTTGTATTATATTCGTGGCTGGACTTATTCGTCACGCTGGTTGAAATTGAGATTGGTAAATCTTTTGTCATAAGTTTTAATAAAATTGTGCTATATGTTTCCTGGATTGATGGGAATTCTCTTTTCCTGACCAGTTATAATAATAATAATAATAATAGTATATTCTCATTTTTTACATGAGGGACACAATTTGTGGTGTACGTGTCATGTGATCTGACTGGGACACACTCTTGGCTTATTGGCTGCAATGTTTATTGTTTTAGGCGGAATATATTGCCGTAATGAGCAAGATGGGATAGTTTAAGGTTAGTGTCATTTACACAAGTAGTCTACTTTATGTAGAATCTTCACCTTTCGGCATAGCATCATTCGGTGAAGACTCCACTACTTAGGATATCAATATAGCTATTTTCGTGTGAAAAACAGTACTATTTGACGAACGAATGCTATCAGTACATGGAAATCACCTGTAAATGCTAACAGAACCTTCTGTGCGAACAGAAGTTATCATGTAGATGTGTCTTTCGCTGTATGTGTGTTTGGACAGGAATTACCGTAAGTTGAAAGGTTATTTCTAAGTGAATTTAATCTATATTTGCACTGATTGGTGCAGTGTAGTATGGTTTATGTGGATTCAACGTATAAAAATATCTCAACCTTATTGGTATTGTGCTACTGTATGCTCAGCTGACTGTTGCGTGTGCAATGCAGCACAAACGGCAATTACTCGTTTAAATTAACTCACTGTATCACTTAGTGCATTAATTCAGTGTATAGTATTGTTATACACATGGATTGTGTTCATTATGAGAAGTGAATCTACTTAGCTCTTTTATTATCAGTCTATAGAATAAGCTGAAAAATTGCCACTATATGCTGAATTTAGTCTTTTCTTTCTGAAATAATGCTAGTTTCGCTCTGCTCCCGCAATTGCCTAGAAAAAGAAAAAGGTGCTGTATTAGTGCCAGTCATGCTGAAAACCAGCATTGAGTTCTGAGCGGATACTCACCATAGAATGTTAGAGTTATTATTTTTATTGTTTCCTTTAATTCCTAGAGGAACATAGGGCTTCAGCCGCACGTCTCCATTGCGTTCGGTTCTCTGCTAGAGTCTTCACCTGGCTCCAAGTCTGCCCGCACACACGATTTCATCTCCTCTTCACATGACCTCCTTCAATTCACTCCTAGAATGTTAGAGTTACTTCATAATTAATGAGATTTAATCCAGCATTACAGTAAGCTTGAGTACTGTCCGTTATTCCCCAGTTCTGGTACATATGCCCAATTTGCCGTCCTAATGGAGCCTCGTGTAGTTCCTCGAAAGCTAAAGATGGCATAGAGGTATTAGGAAAAAACGTGAAACGTTTTACTCCCACCAACTCAGAAAACAGCACCACCAAAATCCACACCGGTTATACTTGCAATTCCTGCCATAACTGCTCCAGACGCAGAGGTTGAAGCACCAAGGGTATCGGTCGCTGGGAAAAGACCCTTACCGTCCACCAGTAAAAGTGGCCACAGCACTGCGACACACAATAATACCCAGT